TTTCTGAGGTAAGAAGTCGTTTACCCACTGGTACAGCCCCAAGTCCTTCCGCCAGAGCTCTGTCACTGTGACCTTGCATACAGCTTCCCTGGGACAATGCTTCAAGAGGTATCTTCCAGCTTGAGCCCAGTTCAGGTCTTTTCTCCTAGTGTTCATGTGCACCAGTGTCTCCGGGGGGCCCTGGCTCCTCTCCCGATGCCAGGCCTTCAGACTGGAGGAGTAGAATACGATGTTCAGGTCTTTCCTCCCAAGAGGCACTTTTGTCTCTCCCCTGCACCTACAGCTTGGTATCCTGGAATGAGAAGTCGAAATGTTTCTTCCACCATCCCTACATCTGCAGACCCCAGTGCAGATACAAGGTCATAGATCAAAAGTATTAGGAACTCCAAATAACATTTATGAGTAATTTGGGATTTCTTATTTTTTAATTATTATTTTTTATTATGTTCAGTTAGCCACTGTATAGTACACAATTAGTCTTTGATGCAGTGTTCAATGATTCACTAGTTAGGTATAATACTCAGTGCTCATGATAGCACCTGTCCTCCTTAGTACTCATCAGCCTGTTACCTCTTCCCCTCTGAAACCCCCAGATTGTTTCCCAGGGGTCCATAGTTTCTTATGGTTCTTCTCCCTCTGATTTCTCCCCTCTTCAGATTTCCCTCCCGTCCCTTGCAGTCCTCTGTGTTATTGCTTATGTTCCACATATGAATGAAACCATAAGATAATTGTCTTTCTCTGTTTCACTTACTTCACTTAACATAATCCCGAGTTCCATCCATGTTGATGCAAAGGGTGGATATTCATCTTTTCTGATGGCTGAATGATATTCCATTGTGTATATGGACCACATCTTCTTTACCCATTCTGTTGAAGGGCATCTCAGCTCCTTCCACAGTTTGGCTCTTGTGGACATTGCTGCTATGATCATTGGGGTGCATGTGGCCCTTCTTTTCACTATATCTGTATCCTTGGGGTAAATACCTAGTAGTGCAATTGCTGGGTCATAGGCAGCTCTATTTTTAACTTCTTGAGGAATCTCCACACTGTTTTCCACAGTGGCTGTATCAACTTGCATTCCCACCAACAGTGCAAGAGCGTTCCCCTTTCTCCACATTCTCTCCAACATGTGTTGGTTCCTGTTTTGTAGGATTTCTGTAAATTATTTTGAAATGATTCAGCAATTTTATAAATAAATATATATAAAAATATATAATATACAATAATATATATACTTAAATCAGCAGTGTACATAGATATGGAGCAAATAGGGCAAAATATCAATTATGGTTGGATTCTGAATCTAGGTAATAAGTTTATGGTGGCTATTCTTTCTATAGTTTGTAGACGGGAAAATTTTAATAAAATGATAAAAAAAAAAAAAAGTAAAGAAGAACTGAACTTGTTTTACAACCCACATTCTATTCTACTCGTGCTTCCCCAGACAGGTCCCTTGCTTTCCAGGACATGGTACTTCATACTAGCCCCTGCCATCCCCCAGCTGAATGCTCTCCCCACTCCTCTCCACCCACATCTGTCCCTTCTGGTCCCAGAGTAGAGTCTACCTGAACAATTCCACCTGCACTAATCTCTTTCACCTTTCAATCCTCAATACCACTAATCACCCTGCACCTGCTTACGTCACCACCATCATCATCCACCAAGCTTTTATTAAGCCACTTACTATGCCCTAAATACTGAACCTAAGAATTTTACATCAGTCTGCTACTTAACTCTTAGGACAACCCCTATGTACAAATAAATATGGAATAGGTGCTATTTGTAAATGTGGACACTGAGGCTCAGAGAGGTTGGAGGACTTCCTAAGGTCACAAATGTAGAAGTAGCATATCTGAATTTGGGATTTGAACCTTGTTCTTTCTGATTCCAGAACCTTCCCCCTCTTTTCCACATGGCCTCTCTGGCATTGCTAGAGGGACTTCCACTGTATTTTTGTCTTCATGCCGTGACTTTCCCCCTTTTAACTTAACTTTCTTTTATATTCATGCCTCCTCTACCTCAGTGCCTAATTCTTTTAAGGAGAGACTTTGTCTTACAATTTACATCTTCCAGGAATCAGCATAGTGATGAGAGGCTGTTTGGATGACTTCACATAATTTCTCAACTTTACAGTGCACTAGAGGAACCTCCATATTCTGTTTCATCACCCAGTTCCTACTGGGACAGGTGTATCCATTACTTTCATGTCTCTTTCCTGTGTCTAGCACACACCCTGATCCCATCCAGTCCCTTCTAAAGAAGGGAGAGAAACCCCTCTTCACAGGTACCCCTTCAGCCATCTGCGTCCCTCCCCCTGCATCTCCTTACCTGAGGCCCAGAAAAGCAGCAGCAGCAGCCATGGCCACCCCCATAGCCCTGTCCCCTCCATCCTAACCCTATCCCAGGATCCACTGGGTCCTGGGCATCCCAGGGTTCTTCCAGATGCTGGAGGATGCTGCCCCCACAGGACTGTTTTCCATGTACCCTGAGAGGCTTGACTATTACTTTGCAATTAAGAAGGGAAGTGTGAAGAGGGAGCAACTCAGGAAAATGCAGAAGAGAAAAGAGTGATCACTGCCCTTGTGACATCTTCCTTCCTGCTTCCCTTACGTCACAACCCCATTGGTCAACACTGGAGAGCTCCCCATTCTCCACCATAGCGAGTTTGGACCCACCCATCTGATGTCCCACCTCTGTTCCACTCATTTCCTCAGGTCACCAGGACTTTCCCATCCTTGACCACTGACCACTACATCCTGCAACCCCTCTGCCATTCCCCCATCTGGAATGACACTGTGCACCCAAATTTGTCCTGTCCTTCAAGATAGACCTCAAACTTTGCTGATGACTTGCCTTCTTTACTCTTGCTCCATACTGTGGTTCTCAAGTATGGGCACGTGGTTAAATCACTCAGGAAGTTGGCAAGCATTTACATGCCTGAGTTGCACCCCCAGAGATTCTGATTTGGTAGGTCTGGGAAAGCTCAGCAATCTGCATTTTAACTACCAGCCCAGGGGATTCTGAGGCAAGTGGTCCAAAGAGGGTATACCTATAAAATGTGGTTCCTCAGGTACTCATCCTAGATGCAAGGTGTGTAGTTCCCTGAACTCCCAGCCTAGGCAGAGGATGGAGACCACAAACATGATGGTACTAGGAATAACTACGACAGATCAGATATATTTATCACCTTTTGGCTCTCAGCACCCAATACCTTCTATACCTGGGGGACATGCCTCAATGCACAGGTCTCACTAAGGTGCAGAGTGCTACTTCCTCTACTACTGAGTATGGAGGCAAACATTTCTCCTGCATCTAAGTGCCAGGCATATGCCTTGACCTAAGCTTGGGCAAATGCAAGATTCTTCCTAGGATTCAGGATCCTAAAGGTGTGATGCAAGGTGTAAGGCCAGTTGGAGATGACAGACACATAAGAAATTTAAGCATTGAGAGTCCGGGAATAGCATGGTGCCAAGGATGTGGTGGCTTCAAGTGACGAAGGGCAGTGGCACCAATGGCAACATCACTAGATTGTGTGATATTGCGAATTATAAGAAATATGTGTTTGGTCATTCAGATAATTAAAACATATCTCTCACATATATTTGGACTTCATCTGTAGTTGTGGATCACAGCTCCCCAAATCCATGAAATTTCCTGAGCTATAAGAGCAGTGGGACCTTCTTCTGTCATATTTAGTCTCTTGTCCTCAGTTCCCAAAAGCACTTCAGAGCCATAAATGTGACATGAGTGTGTTGTTCCTAACAAGCCCCTTTCTACCACACCTAAGTTTATGTCTCTGAGGCGACTTTTGGAAATACCAGAAGGATGGGGGCTGTTGCCTGAGGAACTGACCTTGAAAACAGTGTTGGAAAGTTGGACCTCACCCCCTCATTTCTGGGGAGGGAAGAGGAACTGGGGATTGAATCAGTCACCAATGACCAATGAATTCATCAGCTATGCCTATATAATGAAGCTTCCATTAAAAGCTTCCATTTAAAAAAAAAAAAAAAGGAGGGAGTTCAGAGTGTTTCCAGGCTGGGAAACCAGAATATTTCCATGTGCCACTGTGCTGGGCTCAAAACTCCATGGGGACAGAAACCCTGCTTATTTATTTATTTATTCATTATTTATTTATTCATATTTATTTATTCATATGGCTGTCTATTCATATCCTTTAATATTCTTTTATAAAATGCCAATAATCTGGTAAGTAAAATGTTTCTGAGTTCTGCAAGTTGCTCTAACAAAATAATGGAACTCAAGTAGGGGATCACTGGGAACTCCTATAGTAGGTGGGTCAGAAGCACAAGTGCTCACCAATGTCATCTAAAGATAGGGAGGGGGAGTCTTATGGAACTGAGCCCCCAATCTATGGAATCTGGTGAAGCTTTGGGTAGATAGTATTAGAATTGAGTTAAATTACAGAACACCTACCTGGTGTCCAAAAATTGTTTGTTGGTGTGGGAAAACCACCCCTTCCCAAAACACAGGCACATTCACGCGCATGAACACACACACCCACACACACATACACACACACACACACACACACAGGAATTGGGTGCAGAATTCTAACCGGTGACCAGACCCCTTGACTGTCTTTTGCTATGACCTCAGCTGTGGCTTCAGCTGTGTGTTGCCTCCTGGTTTCACCAGTTAGATTATCTTTTTTTTTTTTTTGAAATTTATATAGTTATCTTAGAAAGAGAGAGAGAGCAGGGGGAGGAGCAGAAGGAGAGAGAGTGTCTTGTCTTCTCCTCATTCTGTGGTTTTCAAACCCCTTCTCTGGGAATGTAGGAGATGGCCACAGATGAAGAGAGAAACCCAAGCATCTGATTCTAGAGGAGAGGAAGATCCAGGGACAGGGAGAACAAGATGCTTCTTTAGTAAGAGCTCTATCCAGGTCAGGCCAAAACGTTATGGCCCAGGCCAAGCACAAGGGCAGCTTTAGTGGTGGTGCCCTCTGTACCTCACAACCACCATGCAACAGCAACAGTGAAGAGCATTGGACTCTGTCTTTATTTAAGGCAAATCCCAAGCCACTGGTGGAATGGGCATGTTCGCAGCTGTGTCTTCTCTTCGGAGGGAGAAAACACACACACAAGGTTATTGGTGTAGTGAGGGGAGCTGGCAGGGCTGAGGTGAGACATGAGACTTAGAAATAATCTGTGTTACAGAGTCTACTCTTGTCATTGCTCCTCCTTGCCTTTCCCCTCACACCCCTCCTCTGGAACAACTGCCAGAAGGATATAACTGAAGGTCAGAGGTCATTCTCATGGTTTCACTGGCCTAAGGTCCAAATGACCTCTGCGTGACAGCAAGAAGGACAGTGAAGACCAAGCTCTTGCTCAGGAGTCCACACAGCACAATAATGATGATGTTGATCGTGGGAACCCTGGGGAAAAGAAGAGATGTCAGCTGCTGTTAGTGCTGGTGCACCTCACACCTGAGTGTTTACAGAAGTCCTTCATGCCCCTTCTCTTATCTTATCTGCTTGGGCCCTTCTAGCTCTTGTCCCCATATTGACTAGCCCTGTGCCTTTAGTGTGTCCATTACCTAAAACTACTAACTGGAAATATATTTAGTAAAGTGCATGGAGCCCATATGCAGAGGAGGCATCTGAGAGAAAGGGCAGGCTGCCTGGGCTCCTCTTCCTCACCAGGATGGCAGCAAGGAAGCCTGGTTTCTAGTCCCCGCAACATGGCCTACTTCCTGGGAGAACCATCTCACCACTCTGGCCTCTTGTTTCCCCATCTATAAACAGAAGAATCCAATCCTTGCCCAAATCTTATCATGAATTTTTACAGATTTTCGTGTAATCATTCTAAAAGTCCCGAGAAAGCATCAGTGGATACTGTAAGAAAGAGATACCCATGAGTGAGGAAATATGGCCTGTTTAGACTCAGCAACTAATCTGCATGATAAGACACAGGGCAAGAAAAGAAACAGATGGCAGCAAAACAAAGAGAAGCATAGATTTTGACCTAATGTTATGTATGAATTTAACATCTAAGGAAATCTGGCAGACCAGGAGGTAGGCAGGGATTGTTTAGTAAATAATCTGGTGGTATCTGGATCGTAATATGAAGAAAAAGTCATCTTTTGTACAACTTATACCATTTAACAAAATACAGCCCCCACCCCAAGATGGAATAAAGATTTAAGTAAAATGGAAAAAAAAAAAACAAAAAAAACAAAAAAAACCTAGAGATGTCGCCAGGAAATAGAATTAAGCATATGAAAGAATAAAGCAAAGCAATAATTTAAAAATCAACACATTTGCCCGTACAAAATTTAAAAGCAAATGTGCAAGGTCGCAGAGAGAGAAATGACAGAATGGCGATAGAAATCTTGCCATTTGCGACGACGTGGATGGAACTAGAGGGTATCATGCTTAGCGAAATAAGTCAATCGGAGAAAGACAACTATCATATGATCTCCCTGATATGAGGGAGAGGAGATGCAACACGGGGGGTTAAGGGGGTAGGAGAAGAGTAAATGAAACAAGATGGGATTGGGAGGGAGACAAACCATAAGTGACTCTTAATCTCACAAAACAAAGTGAGGGTTAATGGGGGGAGGGGGGTTGGGGGGGTGGGATTACGGACATTGGGGAGGGTATGTGCTATGGTGAGTGCTGTGAAGTGTGTAAACCTGGCGATTCACAGACCTGTACCCCTGGGGATAAAAAGATATTATATGTTTATGAAAAATAAAATTTAAAAAAAAAAAAAGTGCCAGAGTCTCCTTTTACGCTGAAGTCCCCACCCTTCCTCTGGCTTCTGGCACCTCCCTCCCTGTCTTCCATCTCCTCCACCACCTGGAACTAGGGTCAAGTTCAGCCCCTGACAGCTCCTAGCCATTTGTGGGTACAGTAGCACTCTCCGGGTCGCGCGTTCAGCCCACGGTCCCAAGGCCCCAGCTCCTCTGGACTACCTTGACTTTCGGGTCTCCCCTGTCCTCCCAACCCTTTCACATTTTCATGGGCCGAGCTCCTGGAGTGTGTCCACTCTTGAGGGCCAGCAGGTACCCCTCTGGAGGCTGAGCACAAGCTGCCGGACCACCCCTACCACCCCAGTGCCTGGGAATTCATGTGCCCCTGGGCTGCCCCTAACAGGGGACTGGAAATTCAGGAGCATAAATACTCCAGCTCCCCAGCCTCTGATATAGACAAGTTCCATGGGTTCCCCAGAAGTCCCCTGCAGTTCCCCACTCTGTGACTCAGCTTGGTGATGACACCCTTGCTAAGCTTCCTTCTCTCCTGGTCTCACTTCCTGGATGGATTTACCTGGGATCACTTCCTACATTTGTACAAGACTTTTCCCACTGCCTGCTTCTAGGGAACCCACCCTAACACAGTGTGATGGTGGCTTCCTCTGAAGTGCCCCCGCCATCCCATCCCTCCCCAGATTGGAAGCTCACTTCTTTCATTGCAGAGGTAAATAATTCCCCATACAAAACATTTCTTTTTCAAACATCTCAGTGACTTCTGCTTCCCTGGCTGGATTCTGACTGATAGGATAGTTCATATTAGTTAATAAAAAAAGTTAATAGGCCAGGGGCAGCCTCTAGTAGCAATGTGGGCCAAAGTAGGTACTCTCAATTTACATCCTGGAAAAATCAAAGTAACTTGAAAAGAAAAATGTTGATTCTCACCAGATCATTTATTTAGTCCACAAAGATTTAATAAGCACCTACTATGTACCAGACACTGGGGTCAGCAAAACAACTATTTGGGGTGGGTGGGGTGGAGAAGTTCTGCCTCTACTCTCATGGAGCTCCTAGTCCACAGCAGGAGAGAAATGAAAGCATGTGATAATTCATGTCCAACTTAGCAGGAATATTTTCCAAGTACTAAATCCTTGTGGGCAAAAGATCCTTGCAGGGGCGACTGCTTCTCTTCTGCATTATGGATCACAACACAAATTGTTTGCAACCTTTGAAGACCATTTGTCAATATGTATACAGAGCAATATAAATGTTCACATGCTCTTAAGGGAATTTCTTTTGAATGAATAATTTAAAAGAAAAAAGACATCTGTGAAAATGTTCATCTCGAAGTTATCAATACTACAAAAAAATTAAAACGATCTCAGTGTCTAAAGACAAGCAAGTTAAGATGTAAGTCATGGCTTTTTCATTGCTAGAAAAGGGTGATTTTGTTTGAATTATAATCATGAAGTCTAGATAGCAACATCAAAGAACAGTTTTAAAATAGAAAAATAATGGCAATGTTTATAATTAGAATTACTGCTATATCAAATATGTATGAACATGAATAAAGACTAGAAAGAGAATGTGGAGATCAGACATGTTAGATTAATGGCAATATGGATACATATTTCTCTGTCAATTCAATATTTAATGATAAACACTTTCAGAGATAAATCAACATCTAATAATAAACTGTAAAGAAGGGTATGCATGCAAAGTTAATGGTTCTTCGCTTTGCCTGCACATTAAGAAATCTCCTGAAGATCTCACCAACAATGCTGAGACCAACCCCATTTCCAGAAATCCTGATCTATTGGCCTACAGGAGGGCATATGCATCAGTATTAACACAAACCAAAGCAAAAGCAAGCACTCCAGGTAATCCTAACACAACAGCTGCCCAGAGCAGTTGGGCTAGGTTATCACTTCCAGCTCTGCATTTTCTAGCCTCCCTGAAGATAAGGAAACAAGCCACAGAACCTTCATGACTCACCCAAAGTCACACAGCCAAACCATGTGGCTGGCATTAGAATCCAGGGTCCTTCACTCCACTCTACCATTAGGCTGGTGGGGTTGGCTGAGACCCAGTGGAATTCAGCAGAGACATTTTTCCCTCTCCTTACTCCTCTAGTAAGCAAGGAAACAGGGTGAACCAAGGAGATGGGCAGCCTCATCAACAGCCTCCTTCTCCTCTAACACCACCCCCTTCCTCCCCAGGGAACTTTCACCAGACTTAGTAGACTCAAGTCTGCTTCTGCCCTGCCCACTCCTCTATCCATAACTTCCCACGTCTTAAGCAGATGGACTTGGAATCAAACTAGGAGGCCCAGAGACCTGAAACCATAGCTGGTAACATCCGTCACATTTGTGATGTTGACTCCAAAGCCAGGAGAGGAAATGTCAGCAGTTGATTTGGGTAGGAGTTGGGTCACAGTCCTGGGACTGGTAAGGAGTGTGCTCTGGGCCTTGGTGGTGGTAAGAGAAGAGGTGGAAGTCTGAACCAAGTTCTGCGTAGGATTCTTGTCTGAGACTAAAAAATCTGCAAGAAAGCACAATGGATAAATCGATGGATAAGTTGGTGGATAAATTGTTGGGAAGTGGATGAGTGGATAGATGGTTGGAAGGATAAATAGAAGGAAGGCAGGGAGGAAGGATGGTTAGATGGAAGGAAAGATGGGTGGATGGATGGATGGATGGATGGATAGGTAGCTGGGTAAATGAAACTGAGGAGGGAAATAAACATAGCCATTCATGAAGCAAGTTTTTCTTTTGCTAAGATTAAAAAATGAGTGTGAGGTCAGCCTAGGTCAGAGAAAGGAAAAAGGGAAGAAGGAAGGAAGGCAGAGAAGGGGAGAGAGAGAGAGGGAAGGAGGGAGGAAGATGGGTAAGGACAGAGAGGGGGTAAGGAGTGGGGGGAATAGAATTTTCAAGCGACTCCTGTCACTGGAAATGCATTTTCCTGCTATTCTTTACCATTCCATATGTCTCCAACTTCTTTAAGAATAATTCCCTTATTACTCTACCTTGTACTATTCTCTGCCTTGCCCTCACCTGAACCTGTAGTGTACTGCTTTTCAAATTATCTTTTATTGATATATTGCATATGAGCCTTGTCTTCCTTAGGTTTAGGATTCCCCAGTTATTAGAAACTTGAACCTTCCTTAATTTCTCCAGTTAACATCTACTGAGGAACCACGCATTACATTAGCTGCTAGAGATACAAAGCTGAGAAAGGTACAGGCCCTTTTCTCAAGGTACTCACAGATGAGCATGGAAGGCAAATAAATAAGCAGGCCACTAGTACCCAGTGAGACAGCATCATCTATGAGAGAGGACACAAAGTGAGCTCTGGAGCTTTGCTACCCAAAATGGGAACCATGGACCAGCCTCAGCAGTAGCATCACGTGCAAGCAGATCAGAAATGCTGAATCTAGGTCCCACCCTAGACCTCTTGTATCAGAGGTTGCTTTTGAAATAAGATCTCCAGGGGCTTTGTGCCCACAGTAAAGTCTGAGAAGCACTGCTTTGGAAACACACAGGAAGGTCATCAAATGCACCCTGGGAAGGAAATAGTGGATCACAGAGGCTTCCTAAAGAAATGACTTCCATTTGAAGACCTAAAGAATGAGACTAAATTGTCCAAGTCTACCACTCATCTTTCATACCGTAGGAAGTATCCCACTTCCTATAATAGCACCCCAAATTAAGCTCTGCTACTCTAAGTGGTAGCTTCTTACTTGAGACCAAATGTCTCTCAAGGACCTCAAATGAGAGAAAAGGAGCTTCTGAGAGAGGCCAGTCTGCTAGAAATCCTGAGCCACAGCCCTGCTCGTGCTACCACCACCACCCATAACCCCAGCTGGCCTGGCTTTCCCCATTCTCTTACCCCCCTCCAGGTCACTCACCCTTGATCACAACCAGGCGGACAAGGGGGGACAGGATGTCAGGGTCCTTGGGAGGGTGGTAGATCACACACCGATACAGTCCTGAATCTTCCACTTGAAGATTGGTCATTTGGACATTTAGTATGGCCTCATCGGGGATGTCTTCTAGGAAGTACTTGCCCATCCGGACTTGACTGGGTTTCCCTGAAACACTCTCTGTGAAAACCAGTGTCAGGGGCTCCCCTCTGTCCATCAGCTTCTGCCAAGCTTTCTGGCTATTGGCGTACTTCCGGATGGAGAAAGGACATTGTACATTCAGGGTCTTTCCCACAGCTAAGACATACTGTTCTTCACGTGGTTCATTTGCAGCTTGGAGTTCTGTAAGCAGGGAATCAGAGTTAGACTCCATGAGGAATAGTTTTCTTCTCTTTGGAAAAAAGAGAGAAACAACCTCTTTTTCTTGTTTGACCACTCATTTTTCGACGAGATCCTCAAGGCTTTCAGAGAAAATGCAACCTTCCCTGCAAGCCAGCACTAGATTCCAGATCTTTTAACTGTGAGTAACTTTTCTTTTACTCCAAGAGCTAGACCTCATATGCTTTGTGCAAACTTTCATAAATGTATGTTCTTGAGAGGAAAAAAATCTCCTGATTGGAGGCAGAACATGGGACACGTGCCAACACCATGAGTGACAAGGGTATGATAGAAGAGAAGATTACAAACAAGGACATATAGGATGATGAGTGGATGTGAAGACATGATAGTAGCAGACAGTGATTCCTCCAAACAGTTAGGGGAACTTCATCTAAGTAGGGGAAAGAGACCAATTCTGGTCTGTTCCAATGGAGCTTTGTAAATGGGAGGGACAAGTTGAGTGGAAGTAAGATCTAGATCTTATTTTTGGCTGGACACAAAGCATTCCATAACTTATCCACAGTGTCTACAGTATATCCACTCAAACCTGAGTTACTTTCTTCTATGGAATACCAAATAATGGGCTGGACAGTAATGTTGGGTCAAACTGTGTGTCAGGCTACCACTACAGACAACTACTATTGCCATTGTTAATGGCACATTACTACTACTGCACAAACACACACACAATTTAATCCTTGGCAGTAACTCTGAGAATGCCCATTGAAAAATGCCAACAGCTACCCCTTCAATGGAGCCCCTTGGCTATTACTACAGCCCACCTGTGGACTCCTGAGGATTTTGTAAAGGATACCAGGTCAGTTCTTCTGGGACCAGACTGCAGTTTCTAAGGAAACATGGAAAACAAGCTTCTTGGAAAGTTCTCTGAATTCTGGTCAGGAATTCCCCTCACTAAACAGGCAAGCCAAGACTGGGGGCTGTCTTAAGCCAAGTTTGGCTCACTCATTCATTCACTCATTCATCAGTCAGTGGCTCAGAGCCTACTATGTGTCAGGCACTGTGCTGGGCTTCGAGGAAGAGGCACACCTCCTCTCTCTACCCTCTGTAACATTACCCTCTACCCTCTGTAACATTAGTGTAAATATTATAGATAAATTATTTGCCAACTCCCTGGGCAAGGTAGACACTACAGTCTGAATGTGTGTGTCCCCCCACCCCACCAAATTCATACGTTGAAATTGAAACCCTAAGGTGATGGTGTTAGGAGGTGAAGCCTTTGAGAGATGATTAGGTCATGACTGATCCCGCAAAAGGGATTAGTGCCCTTATGACAGGGGATCCAGAGAGCTCCTTACCCACATCCAACCTGGGAGGACATAGTGAGAAGTCCATAGTCCACAACCTGGAAGAGGGCGTTCATCAAAACCCAATCAAACTCGCAGCATGATCTTGAACTTCTATCCTCCAGAACTATGAAAAATAAGTACCTATTCCTTATAAGCGACCCAATCTGTGGTATTTTGTGATAGCAGCCCAAGTAGACAAAGAGAGTGGGAGTTACAGGAGGAGTCTGAAATTGTGCACAAACTTGCTTATCTCTTGTGAAAGGAGACAGAAAGCACTCAGCACCGAAGAGCTATGTGTGCACCATTTCTTGCAACACTGCAAGAAAGGAATTCCAAATACCTTTTATTGCTAAGTGCTTAAAAGTACTGGCACATGCAATCTTCCTAAATTTATCATTTAAGCTCCATAACTTCTAAGGTGGATACTGACATTATTCCTATTTCAGAGATAGGGAAATTGAGGCACAGAACGGTTATTAAATAACCCAGAGGTTATTAAGTGATTTGCCCAAAGTTCCACAGTAGAAAATGGTAGAGTTAGGATTTAAGCCTGGATAGTCTGACCCCAAACTCAGCTCTAAACCCTGGAGCCATGTTGCCCAAAGCAGTTGTCTGTTTGGGGTGAGAGCAGGCCTAGCCCACACCTGAATAGGTACATAATGATTCTATTCCTTAGAGTACAGGAGCTAGAGGGAGTTTTTAGGTTACCCAAACCCACCCCCACAGGATACAATGAAATATATACTACTGGCTTTCTCATACGCAAGTACACAAGCATCAACCGTCCATCTTCTCCCAGTTTTGCTTTGGAAAAACGTGAATACAACACAAATGAATGAGAACCAAGCTCCTAGATGCCCATCTGGGATATCACCCCAGCTCCAGCCAGACTCAAAGTGCTATGTGCTTGCAGGCTCTGCAAGCCAAGCATCTGTGACCTTACTCAAAGTAGTGCATTCCTAGAAAGTCCCCTTTCTCTGTAATCTTCATGTCTTTCCAAGGCAAACCCTTCTTTTCACTTGTTACTTTCCCAATTTATTCATAAGGATTAGGAGGAGGAACAACCAAAGCCCCAAATGTTTCCATCTTTAGTCAAAGTGTGAGCTGTACACCAAAGGAAACAGTTAACAAAACCAAAAGACAACTGACAGAATGGGAGAAGATATTTGCAAATGACATAACAGATAAAGGGCTAGTGTCCAAAATCTATAAAGAGCTTAGCAAACTCAGCACCCAAAGAACAAATAATCCAATCAAGAAATGGGCAGAGGACATGAACAGACATTTCTGCAAAGAAGACATCCAGATGGCCAACAGACACATGAAAAAATGCTCTACATCACTCGGCATCAGGGAAATACAAATCAAAACCACAATGAGATACCACCTCACACCAGTCAGAATGGCTAAAATTAACAAGTCAGGAAATGACAGATGCTGGCGAGGATGTGGAGAAAGGGGAACCCTCCTACACTGTTGGTGGGAATGCAAGCTGGTGCAACCACTCTGGAAAACAGCATGGAGGTTCCTCAAAACGTTGAAAATAGAGCTACCCTATGACCCAGGAATTGCACTACTGGGTATTTACCCTAAAGATACAAATGTAGTGATCCTAAGGGGCACGTGTACCCGAATGTTTATAGCAGCAATGTCCACAAGAGCCAAACTATGGAAAGAACCTAGATGTCCATCAACAGATGAATGGATAAAGAAGAGGGGGTATATATATATATATATATATACACACAATGGAATACTATGCAGCCATCAAAAGAAATGAAATCTTGCCATTCGCGATGACTGGATGGAACTAGAGGGTATTATGCTTAGCGAAATAAGTCAATTGGAGAAAGACAATTATCATATGACCTCCCTGATGTGAGGAAGTAGAGATGCAATGTGGGGGGTTTGGGGGGTAGGAAAAGAATAAATGAAACAAGATGAGATCGGGAGGGAGACAAACCATAAGAGACTCTTAAGCTCACAAAACAAACTGAGGGTTGCTGGGGGGAGGTTGGCAGAGGGTGGTGGGGTTAGGGACATTGGGGAGGGTATGTGCTATGGTGAGTGCTATGAAGTGTGTAAACCTGGCGATTCACAGACATGTACCCCTGGGGATAAAAATACATTATATGTTTATTAAAAATTTTTAAAAATTTAAAAAAAAAAGTGTGAGCTGTACAACAAGAGAAGTGAGGGTGTGATGATGGGGCAGACCTGCCAAACCAGGGAGGGCAAAACCACCCTCCAATACCAGCAGACAATGGTGGTCAGCAGTCACAGCCCCCAGGAAAGTGGGCCCCAAGCCCCTTCTATTCACTTTTGTTCTGCTATTTTTCAACAATAGCAGATTTTCTGGTCCACAGTAGGTCCCTGGGAAATATTGTTAAATGAATTATGTCTTTGGGGGTTAACAGACAGTCACATCAAAAGCACCATAATGGAATATAAGAAAACGAAACTTCAAACTCGAGCAAAGTTATTTCGGATCTTGTCAAGTTTAGATTTACTCTAGCATCCCCGCCCCGCCCAGAGTTGTGCTTATCTTTGCCGATATCAAAATGCACAGATAAACTGTTTCCATAATTCACCCATTTTATTTCTGTTCTCAGGCTCTATATATCTTCTGATGCTGTTAAGTTTGGATAGAAGAACCCAGTCTGGCAAGTTTACTGGCTGGCTCTATGCTGGGTGGCCACATCCCCTGGAGCTTCCAAAGAGAAGGGAAGCTTTTCTTATGGTGGGATCCCCAAGGTTCTGGGCAGAGGCCTCACCTGCTCATGCCTCTTTCTCACCTTACCTGAGATGAAGAGTATCCAGAGCAGATCCTGGAGCCTGGCCTTCCTCATCCTTCGTGTGCGCCAACCCCAACTGCCGCTGGTGTGCCTGGGACACTCTAACCTAGAGCCTCCAGAAACTTGCATAACAGGATATGAAGTCATTCCTGGGAGGTGCTGAGGCTGCTGCTCTGTTTTCGTCACTGGTTGTTTTGGCTCCAGATGTCAAGGACTGCACAGGAATCCAGAGACAGTGTTTGAGTGTCAGGCTTCTCTGAATTCTGGTTTCCTGGTCTCTGGGGATAATGACAATTGCCTTTTTAGCCAATCTCACAAAATTTTAGTGAGAATAGTACTTTTGTGTGAGCAAACGTAAGGTATCACTATTGTCAGGGGATTAGTGGGCCACCTTGCTCTCCTGAGGCCAGCTCTCCATTCCCATCTAGTTCACTGTAGGTAAGAGTGCCAGGTACATGGAGGGATGGGTTGGGATAATGCCTCACTTTTAGGCTTATTGTGAAGACGAAATGGGGGTCCCTAAGGAAAATGCTCAATACTGTACCCAACATACGTGTTTTTTCTACATCCTGTCCCTATTCACCATCACCCTGATCCCCTTGGCTTTTTCTGACTTGAGGCCTGTCTCCTCTTCACCGGCATGGCCCTCACCTTGCACTTGGTCCAGCTTTCTGTCACATATCTGGCCTCAGAGCTCACAGAAGTGTAGGAAGCCCCCAAATTATTTGAGAGAACATGGCCACCATTAAAAAGAATAGACTTAGAAACGGGATGATATAGGAGAGGATAGTGATGAAAGAAGGAAAAATTCAGCAGTTTCCATACCAAAAACAATACAAGGCAGATCTGACGATGTGAAAAATCAATAACAGAAAAGATTCACTTCAGAAATGCTCCCAAATGTAAAATGAATATCGACATTTTGAAGAGCTCATAAATACATTACAAGGAATGTCCTAGATCCAGCAAATAATCTACAAATAAGAGATGTTCTTGAAGTATAACATGTAACAGTGAATCATAAATGAGGATAAAAATGTATACTTAAGAAAATACTTTCAGTAAAGTATGGCAACTGAAGAAAACCACATTGCATATTTTGAAGTTGCTAAGAGAAGAGATCCGAAAATTTCTCATCACACACACAAAAATTCTGTAACTATGTAGATGACAGATGTTAACCAGACTTACTGTGGTGATAATTTTGCAATAATACAAATATTGAATTATTATGTTTTGCACCTGAAGCTAATATAATGCTGTAGGTCAATTATAACTCAATTTTAAAAAGAAAAACACATTCTAGATCTGAAAAGAAATCTGTAATTGGAGGACAAAAGCCCAACAAGGGCAAGAAAATATTCATGAAGCGAGACCAAGGAAGTTCCCAGGTGAAAAAAATTTTTTTTCATTTAAATTCAATTATCTAATATATAGTACATCATTAGTTTCAGATGTAGTGTTCAGTAATTTACCAGCAGGTGAAAAAATTTTAATTTAAATAAAAATATTTCTTGCAAACTGGTGCAGCCACTCTGAAAAACAGTATGGAGTTACCTCAATAAGTTAAAAATACAACTATCCTACAATCCAGCAATTGCACTACTAGGTATTTACCCAAAGAATACAAAAATACTGATTCGAAGGAATACATGCATCCTGGTGTTTATACCAGCATTGTTAACAATAGCTAAATTATGGAAAGAGCCCAAATGTCCACCAACTGATTGATGAATAGATTAAGAGATGATAAGTATATGATAGATAGATAAATAGATGATGGAATAATACTCAGCAATTTAAAAAAATGAAATCTTGCCATTTGCAGTGATGTGGATGGAACTAGAGCATATTATGCTAAGCAAAACAAGTCAGAGAAAGACAAATACCATACGATTTCACTCACATGTGGAATTGAAGAAACAAAATAAATGAACACAGAGGAAGAGAGAGAAAGAGATAGAGGCAAACCAGAAAACAGACTCTTAACTATAGGGAACAAACTGAGGGTTGCTGGGGGGAGGTGGTAGGAGATGGGGTAAATGGGTGATGGGCATTAAGAAGGGCACTTGTGATGAGCACTGGGTGTTGTATGTAAGTGATGAAACACAAAATTTTATACCCGAAACTAATATTACATTGTATATTAACTAACTGGAATTCAAATAAAAACTTGAAAAGTTAATTAATTAATTAATTAATTTTAAAAAGATTCCTACTGATAAACAAACAGGAAAAGCCCACCTTGATTCCTTCAAAAGAATTGAAATAGGCAGGACTCACATTTTTTCTCTAAGTAACAAAGGCTAAGAGGCAGTAGAATAATGTGTAAAGAATGTTATGACTAGAATTTTACACCCACACTGATCGCTATTCAAGTCTGAAAACAACTAAGATGTTTGATTATATCTGCAAATTCAAAAAGAAATTCTAAAGTAAACTTTCACTTTTTAAGCTAAAACTGTGGAATGTAGCAATTTCTAAAATATACATGGTAGTAGATACCTTGAAATCATATTATTGTACTCAGCAGAAATGATTATAGTTAAGGTTTTACTAAAGTTCCTTCTGTGTTCTATAAATCCAGGCTTCAAACTGTGCTTGGATTGAAATCTGCCAGACCCACTATTTGTTTTACTCTTTCGGCCCACAAGGGGCAAAAGTAGACAGAGAAGTTTTTGAAATTTTCTGACTCAGAGAGAAGCCTAAGTGATTTTTTATAGGGATGAGTCAGATTAGTACAGTTCATTTAACAAATCCCTTTTCTTACAGCAAATTCCACAAAATTTGAAATTTTCTGACTCAGAGAGAAGCCTAAGTGATTTTTTATAGGGATGAGTCAGATTAGTACAGTTCATTTAACAAATCCCTTTTCTTACAACATTTGAAATTTTCTGACTCAGAGAGAAGCCTAAGTGATTTTTTATAGGGATGAGTCAGATTAGTACAGTTCATTTAACAAATCCCTTTTCTTACAGCAAATTCCACAAAATTTGAAATTTTCTGACTCAGAGAGAAGCCTAAGTGATTTTTTATAGGGATGAGTCAGATTAGTACAGTTCATTTAACAAATCCCTTTTCTTACAACAAATTCCACACTTAAATAAGACAACACTTTCTAATTTTTTATGTCTTTGCATACTTCATTTTGAGGGTCAGTTTCCTGGAAGATTAAGAGAGAACTTTTTTTAGCTGTATTAATTTTTACTTCTTGTACTTGGAGGTTCTGTCATTTTGTGTGTATACATTTCGGATCATTAAATCTGGATGGATTGATGTTTTTTATCATTATATTGTGTCTGTAGATATTTTCTTTCCTCTGAAGTCTACCTTAATCAGATATTAATATAGCCACTCCTGCTTTTTAAAAAGTTAATGTTGGCTCTGCCTGGGTGCCTCAGTCATTTGAGCGTCCTACTCTTAATTTCAGCTCAGGTCATGATCTCAGGGTGGTAATATCAAGCCCCGGGTCCAGCTCTGCACTCAGTGGGAAGTTGGGTTGAGAATTCTCATCCTTCCTCTCCCTCTGCCCCTTCCCCCAGAAACGAATAAATAAATCTTTTTTAAAAAAAAACTTAATGTTGGAATGATATATTTTTTTCCATTCTTTTTCTTTCAACTTACCTTATCATTGGCTTTGAAGGGAGTTTCTCATCGACAGTGTCTAGTCATATTGCATTCTTTTATCCACTCTGTCATTCTGTCTTTCGATAGGCATATTTCAACAAGTTAAATTTAAGGTAATTATTGATATGTTAGTGCTTGATCTACCATATTATGACTTGCTTTCTATTTCTTTCCTGATGTTTCTCATTCTTCTGTTTTCCTTTTGAGAATTTTTAGTTAAACAGCCCAAGAAGGATTTCTAACTAACCCTAACTATCACAAGAAGTGGATTCCTCCTTCGTACCATCCTAACACAAGGTGGCACCTGAGTGTGTTTGAGTAACACTACATCAAAAACTAATGATGGCTATCAAAAACTACACTGGCTAACTGAACATAATATAAATAAATAAATGTAGAAAATCCCTGCAAAAAAATTTTAATTGAAAAAATTTTTTAAATTAAAATAAAATGAGAATAAAGTCTTTTTTCACCTGTCCTGTTTGCTTTGTGCACTTAAAGTAAACAGAATGTAAATGTCCTCTACTCCCTTATCCCTTATTTTTCTGAGAAGCTGGACCACCTGTGCAGTGTCTTAAATTCTCAAACTAATTTTCAGGTTACTATCTCCTAAGGCTTCTCATTAAGTCATTGTGGGGCTTGGGAAGTAGGGTTTCTTTTCATTTCATTGAGACTGAGTCAAAAGTTCTACTTTCACACTTAATCCTTTAGTGGCCAGAGTACCAGGAAGGTTTATTTTTAAGACATCATGATCCTTTTTGTATTTATTTGTCAAACATTATCTTCAGTGTTATCATGAAAGCCTGTACAAATATTATTCTATTTGGGGTTTTGTTTCCTTCGGTAAAGTCACTGGCCCAAGTCAATATGTCCCAATCATCATGATGGGGTAAGGTAGCAGTTTCTTTCTTAATATGGATTGGTTAAACACGTATCTGTTCTAACTTAGCTGGAATATATGTGTGACATTTTTTAACACTGAGGTTATGCATATCTCCTTTTCTGTCTCCAAAGAGGGTCCCGCAGATCTAGGACACAGACCTCTGAGATCTGGTGCTCCTGTCTCTGAGAAGCCTCAATGAGGCTTTTACTGGGGGTGGAGAAGCTTTAAACTGGCACCAACTACAGCTGCTGAAACCACTGCCCTTGCCCTGATGAAATACATTGCTGTGCGACACTCAAACGAACTGCCCCCCTCCTCCTGGCCCCCAGTCTGCCGCCAGTCCCTTCACTGACAGAGGACAATAGGGAACCAGCAGGCAAAGAAGTCTGGTTTCAGAATCTCAGTTCAGACCAGGGAAGAGAAAGTTTTAATCAGAAAGATGATAGCTGCATAACCAGCTCACTCAAAACCAATAAATGAGGCTGCTCTAGTCATGGGATGAGAATCTTTTCTGTGTCTTGCTAACAGTGACTTTGAACACGGATCAGCCTTTGGACATGGAGACACTTCTACCCACTCTGAAAACATACATACAATTAAAT